ACAAATCTTGTCGAAGAAAAAAAATTAGCTGCAAAGTTCGAACATTTCAGTTTATGAATTTACTAACGATCCTTCTAAAAGTGCGTTCAGTGGTTAAAAACGCCGAAAAGTCCATTGTTACTGTCAGGTTGAAATAATTTCAGAATTTGCTGTCAGCTAGCGGAACTGCACTGGAATCGTAGAGACGCGAACAAAGCGATTGAGATGTACAAAGAAGCGATTAGCTTGAACAATACAGACATAAATGTTAGAATAAGCTTTTCCATTTTCAACGCTCTGTAGACTAGAGGTGTTGCTTTCTTTACTGGCAACTGATGGACTTAGCGTATTTGATGTGAACGTAAGGCCACCTGTGAAAAAAAGAAGTGGAGAAAACATTCGGAGGAGCTCTGATGAGATGGCTCATGTATGTACTTGAAAAGATGCAGTGAGGGATCATGCAGTTCGAGATAAATGTTCCTGGTAAGGTTGCTCTGGCGACTGGGTATACCGCTGTAATTCTGGCGCTCCACAGCGGAGGTGTAGCTGATTTTGGTGTTCAAATGAATCCTCGCGTGCAAGCACATCCTCTGGGAGTATCGCTACATTTCCTTGTGTTCGGTGAAGGTTGCATGAGTACCAGGGTAATCCGCGTTTTTATTAATATACTCTTCATCATCCCGACCATCTTGTTCCATCCTAATGTTTATCCAGCTTCTCTATTTTTGTTCCTTTTAATCAGCTCAGCTTCAGTTTTCTGTGACAGTAAAATTAATTAATTAATGATGGACGACTATGTGGATTACTAAAGAATGAACTTTAGGAACGAAATTTCTCTTGATAAAATATGCTACAAGAAATAACTGGTGCGGGCAATTGACTAGCGGGGTGGTTAACTTGAGAGCTAGCTTGGAGCATATAATCCATTATACATGCTTTTGTAATAAGGCCACAACTAGCCCCTATCAGCATGATAATTTTCATAATATACTTGATTTTGTACTTTAGTCAGCTGCTGTTTCGTCTTTGTTTTCAAGAAATTCCCGACACTGATACAGTTAATAGCCCCATCGTTTGCTGCTGTGGGCCCCTTTCATTCACACTGTTCCGGATAAGCTTTCACGTGAACTCTTTCATCATAATTC